AGCCAGAGCCTTTTTAAAAGAAAAAAAGGTTTCTATAAATTTCAAAGTTAAAAGTTCTTCAATGGACCACTTGTTCTACTGGTCCCTTCCCTACCCCAAATCATTCTACTATGAATCTAACCTCTATTTCAACTTGAAGTAATCTGGTGGCAACTAGACTGCATTTATTTTCTATTACTTTTTTTTTTTTAAGCAGAGGTAGGAATATAGACAATGACCACTCTGACTTCCTAACAAAATTAAAAAGTTTTGCATTTCTATGTGACAAATGAATTTTTCTTGAAATCAGTTTTAAAATAAGAATGTACATACTGTTGTGAAAAACACTTCAGGCTAATGAGAAATTAACAAGTTCAATTCCTGACTTATTTGGCAGGCACAACACTAAGAAATGTATAACAATTTGCTAGATCCTTGTCATTCATAAGAAGTAATGACATATCTAGTGTTCATTCTAAAAAAACAACTCAGTGGTTTCTAATTTAGGTGCCTTTGTGTCGAAGATAGCCCGGCCAAAAAATCGAGCTTTCTCAATTCGCTTTACTGACTTAGCAGTAGTAGCTCACATAGATGGCAAACCTAATCTCATTTTCCAAGGGGCCAACAAAGCCTAGCTCTCTAACCAATGTTCGAGTCTCAGCTATACCCTATCAGGAACAAGAAAACGGCAAACTCTACCAGACTTGTGTGGACTTCCACCTTGATGGCATCCGTTCTGAGGAATGTCCATTCTTTATCTTTCCACTCACCTACTACCACTCTATTATACCATCAAGTCCTCTGGCTACTCTGCTCCAGTATGAAAATCCTCCCCATTTTGAATTAGTTGTGTTCCTTTCAGCAGCATAGGAAGGCACTGGAGAAACGTTCCAGAGGAGGACCTCCTACCTGCCCTCCGAGATCATGTTACATCGCTGTTTCGCATCTCTGTTGACCCAAGGCTCCAAAGGTGAATACCAAATCAAGATGGAGAATTTTGACAAGACTATTCCTGAATTTCAAACTCCTCTGTTCTCCAAGAGCCCAAACAGGACTGACCTGGACATCCACATCAATAGACAAAGCATTGACAATTTTCAGATCTCTGAAACAGGACTCGTAGAGTAAGAAGTATCCATTTTAGCACCCTATTTTTTAATGTATTAAATACACTCAGCCAGTTATGTACTGTTTTTCCTTCTTGTATCTCATGCTTTCTTTTTCCAATGCTGATTACTTCTTTCTGATTACATCATGATGAGCAAGTCTCCACCCATAAAAAATGGCTGAGCTAACAATACACATTGTGGAAATATAACATTATATAAAGTTTCTATCTATGGTTATCTGCTGAAATCAATGCATGTGAAGGTAACAGATATGTATAACAACAGAAATGCTGTTGGTGAGTTTATATGGATGTGGTATGATACCAGTAATGAAAGTAAAATGGACACACTTTACACAGCTGAACTCTAGGAAAATCAGTCATAAATTTCTCATTTTCATCTGCAAGTCAGAGCAACAGTCTAGTTTCAAACCTAGCTCCCTGGGTAGAATGATGATTTCACAATATTTAGTGAACATCCTTTTAAAACTGCTCTTTTCTCAAGACAACAAAGATCATTCCTTTGGTTCCTTATAAAACCAAACTGGGGCAAATATTACTCCCTTAATTTTTAACAGCTAAGAACAAAAATTCACAAGAAAACACCAAAAAAATAGATTTAACCATAACTCTAAAAGCATTTGGGCATGACACTCAAACACACTTACATATTCATATATTTGTGTCAGAAAGTGATCAGAGCAAGCAAAACAAGCACTAGCCTGATGGAAACTGCAGAGTGGCATTAGGCAAAGAGATGCAAAATTTTATCTACTTTATGGGGAGGGAGGTGGGAGGGAGGGTCAGGATGGGGAACACATGTACACCCATGGTTGATTCATGTGAATGTATGGCAAAAACCACCACAATATTGTAAAGTAATTAGCTTCCAATTAAATTAAAAAAAAATTAAGCTTAATCAAATAGTGATTTAAATATTACACCTATTCACCTGAATGACTTCCGACCAAAGTAAAAACCTTCCCTTTCTACTTAGGATCCATTCAATAGTATAAAAACCTCATAGATGCAAATATATTTATGTTTTTGTAGATATAAAGGTTTAGATATAATTTAGCTCCAGGGGAAAAACCTCCACTAGAAAAAGCAAAAAATAATTAGGCAATGAAGCATTTTCAAACTCAAGTTTCTGTTTCCAACTTCAAACAGGTTTTTCTATAAATACAAAATGAGTGTTTATTCACCAGTAGGAGGTTGGACTAGATAAACTATTATTTCTTTCCAAATCTAATACTCCATGAAAATTACACTTTCTCTCCTGTTTTAATTTTACACATACTAAGATGAACCCTTTCCCTTACCTCTGGTTTAACTTAAGACTATCCTTTGTATACTTGTCATTTCCATTAAAAAAAAAAAAATTAAACTGTCTGCAACCAAAACAAGACCCAAAAAAGTCACCCTATCAGATTTCAAACAGATTTGTTGCCGCTCTTCTGAAATCTCCCCCATCCAAGCCTATGTGGGCAAAGTGAAAGATGAACTCTCCCCACTGGTGATGACCCACGCAGGAATCATTTCCTGAAGTAAATACTAGCCAGTAAAGGCAAGCAGTTGTGAAAAGCAGGGCACAGCAGAAAGTCACATTTTCCTATTCTTTGACCAAAAGGAGAAGAAAATAAAGAACTCTGGAGTGGTCTAAGACTGATAATAGCAAAGTATATCAAGGAAACAGAAACTTAATAATTGAGAACTTTTGCAGTTTAAAAATTTTAGGCATTCTTAAGTACTAGCTAGACCGACAGATTTTTTTTTTTTCCAACCCAAGACTGTTGTAACACAGACAGACAGCGGGAATTCTTATTTCTATAATAAAGTAACAAGATTCACCTAACCTGTGAAAATAAAGTAGTATTGAAGATTCACATGGTATGTTTTTTTCCTAAGAGCTCCACATCACTTACACAGGTCACGCAAAAAGGATGTCCAAAGTAACATAACTAGGAAGTGAACAGGCCTGTCTGGGCTCTCAGTCTCAACATAGATGCAGTACCTTCTCCATTCAAGCCAGAGGAATCTTTTACCATGCTATTTATACATAAACTTTGCATCTGAAAATTAGACATGACTTTCCCTAGACACAGAGGCACTCCCCCCAGTAAAACTTCATTAGTATATTAATGCTATACAATGACAGACAGCTAAAAAATGCAATCAAATACTTCTGTCTAGGAGATTGAAAGCTTATGAGAGAATGATTCTTTCACTTCAAAGAATCACACCTTCTGTGTTAAGCAGATTAAGTTTTCTGCAAAGGCCCCATTATCCTTTCAGATGAATGGAGTGCAAACTGAAAGAGGGGAAATTTACTAGAAGGTGGGACCAGCAGCTCTAACTCTTGGCTCTATAGCTCACTTACCTGAGCCACCAGGGAAATTAGTGATAACATCTCGGATACATGATCCAGGAGACCACAATGGAATGCTGTTAAAAAATGCTTGTGGAAACCAATACAGATAGCATAACAGTCACAATAAACTGAAGACAAGTAGATACCCAAAACCATAAAGCCCACTTTTATATATGTGTATTGTTGTGTTAGTCGCTCAATTGTGTCCTACTCCTCGTGACCCCATGGACTGTAGCCCACCAGGCTCCTCTGTCAACAGAAATCTCAAAGCAAGAATACTGGAGTGGGTAAGCCATTCCCTTCTATGTGGGATATCCCCGACCCAGGGATCGAACTTGGGTATCCTGCACTGCAGGTGGATTCTTTACCATCTGAGCCGCCAGGGAAGCACCTTACATATGTACAGGCCCTTATTACCAACTGCCAACAGCAACCTAACAGCCAAAAATCGCCATGCCTGCTTCAAAGCATTTCAAAATGCACTGAGTTGAACCTTTCCATGTCACCTAGATTTTACTTTAATGATCTTTTAATTTCATCCTCACAGAATCATACTGTAAGATGATTTCTAATGAACAGAAATTATAATTTGAGTATTACAGGCCTTTTTCTGCCTCTGCATCCTCCTGTGGGTATTCACAAGGGTCATGCACAATTCTTACTCAGATTTCTCTAATTGCACCCACTTCTTTACACATAAGAAGCAGATACATGATAAGAACTGTCTCTAACTTTAAAAAGAACAAATCATTGTGGAACTTTCAGTATTTAAATTATTTTAATTTGCTGTCATAGGACACCTCACAACTGATCAGTATGTCAGTATGTCTCAACAAACTAGTTAAGTACTTCTGTTATGGGAGACAGTAAGACATGGCATGAGCAATTTTTTTTTTTTAATCTACAGTATTTTCAACAAAAGTGCATTATTTATGAAAGTTCAGAATCATTAGCATAGTTTAATAAACTGAAGTCAACATCTTATTAAAAAGCATTCAATAAAAGCCACTATAAAATATTTTTATAGATCTATGTGAAAATTGCCCTTTAAGAAAGAAAGACCGTCATTTATCAAAAAGGCCAGCTGAATAAATGACTAAAGGAAGAACAGTCATAGTTTTAGTCTTTGGTTTTGAATACAAAAGCAAACATTCTACTTTTTTCTCTATTTCTTCTCACCTGTGAGATGCTATCTATGCTGGAAAAGGAGTTAATAGGCTGCTTCCTAACTTGAAATTTCACTTCATAAGGTATCCTTAATACAGAATATATGTCTTTCAGAGAACACACAGACTTAAAAAGTTAAACCAAGTAAATTCTAATAATTGTAATTATTATCCTTGGTTTCACGCAATACAGCCCTCAAATAACCATGGAACTCTAAATGCAAGCAATGCTACAACCCCATCTACTGAAGCGAGGCAAATAACTGAGTCAATTTTTTTTTATTCAATTTTTAATAAAGGTATCCTCTGTGAGCCTTAAGAACAAATGCCATGGAAATCCAGATAAAAATACTTCAAAAGAGTAAGAAAATCTTACCTACTTCTTTTTGTCCTGGTTTGTCAAAACATCTGTCACCCCTAGAAAAGGTAAAAATCAATTTCAAACAAAATGTGAGAGTAATACATAGATTTCCCATCCATAACACCCATTTCCTATTAATAGCATTTTTTTCAAATTATAAAACAAATATATGGTTTTTGCCTAACATTTGGAAAACACAGAAAAGCACAAATACGAAAACAAAAATATCCATCTCACCTACCAAAAACTAGCTTCTACAGACCCAGAAATTTTTTTTATTAGATACATTTTTAGCTAAATTTATGTTTGATTTTAGGTATCTGCTATGCAGAGCTTTATAAACTGCTTTCAGAATGTGTTTTTACACCAGATTAAATATTTTCAAACTCATCCTAACTTTTATGGTTATATGGTACATACAGTATTCTACTGTGTAGACAGGGCTTCCCTGGTGGCTCAAAGGTAAAGAAGTCGCTTGCCAATGCAGGAGATACAGGTTTGATTCCTGGGTTGGGAAGGTCTCCTGGAAGAGGAAATGGCAACCCACTCCAGTATTTTTACCTGGGAAATCCCATGGACAAAGGAGCCTGGTTGGGCTACAGTTCATCGGGTCACGGAAGAGTCAGACATGACTTAGTGACCAAACAATAACAACTGTGTGAATATGCCATTATATAAGAAACCATACTGAAATTAAGTTGTTTGGTTTGTTTCCCATTGTTTTGTATTATAAATAGTATCACATGGACATCTTTGTACATGTATCTGTGCAACTGCCTTTGCTTAGCTTGAAAGACTTCATATAAAGTCACAAGCAATATAGAGAAGATGCTTTGATTAACAGCAACAAACAATAAAATGAAAAGGCGTCTCACTGAGTGCTAATCAAACAGCACATCTAATTAACTATTAAATATCCATGCTGGCACGAAAATATTAATGTATTTATCTAGAATGTTTCTTCCTTTAAGTAAGAATCATTTAAACACTTCTAACATAACTCTTATTCAGTTAGAATTTTTTGACAAATGAAACCTTGTAACTGTACAGAAAGCAGAGAAGAAATGTTTTTATACCAAGAATCTTTATCCCAAGATGTGACTCCTTCAGTTACCTTTCCTCCCAGCTCTGTGACCTGAGCATTTCCCTGCTGCCTTCTCGGTCAAACACTCCCTCTACTTCATCAAAACTTCTTTGGTAGAAACCGCATTCACCTCTGCCTCTGCATAAAAATAAGCACACACAGAAAATGATGGTCAGGTGTCAACATCTGGCACAAGTTCAACACCAAACGTTAATCTTTGAGGTGCTGTCTATATACAAAGCAGTGTATCAACATTTAAATATTTAGCAAGGCCCACTGAATTTTTACCAGTGAGATCAATAATGGCAATGACAGCAGTGAAGTAGCTAGACCACAGGAGGATAAAAAAAAAAGTTAGAAAACTGTGTAAGAGTCCCAGTTCCAGTCCTGAACAAGAAATAGTGTCAACATCAAGCTCCTTGACAGAAAAGTCAATAGTGAAATTCTAAGATCAGTAAACCATTGTGACAAATCAAACCTTCTCTTGGATTATTTTCAATAAAAATGGAAAATGTGAGGAGTTTGAGAAGAGAGCAGATAAAGTACAAAAACCAGGCACAAATGTTAATTTCTTTAACTTCCGAGAAAGGATCATTTAATAGGGTCAACTCTAAACTATCAATTTTGTGAACTAACTCCAAAGCAACCAAAGGCACTCTTTCCTATGTGCGCAAATCTTGGAGAAAAATATCAGGCAGCACTAAATTCAAACCACAGAGCTGGTAAGAAAGTGTGGATATAGGAATTTATAGAGGCTCCAGTGGCTCAAATGTACACTGGCCTTTACTGAAGGCAATCTGATTAGATTTATCAAAATTTGACTCAACATTCTAATTAGAATTTATCCTAATATATATATATGGAGATCTTTGTTGCAAATTTTTAAAAAACAGAAACATAATCAGTAAAGGACTGGCTAAGTAAATTTTGAAAAAACAACTCAGTAGAATTCTAGGAAGCCACAAAAGATAAAGTACTGTCATTAAAAGAAATCTACATTTTTCTGTTGAATGACTAAAGCATGCCAAAGAGCAATACATATTAAAAAAAACTACCATGTATATAAATGGTATGACTGAATGGCTAGGATCAAGAAGGATATAAATCCAAATGCTGCATCTGGGGGCAGAAGGCAGTATGCACTTTCAGCTTTTTATTTTCTGTGTAGTGTGAGGATTTCCCAACTAATGTATGCCATTTGTATTCAACACATAGGTTAGAAAACTGGGGGGAGGGGGGTAAGAACTGAGCCTAGGGATGCTCTTGGACTGCAAGGAGATCCAACCAGGCCATCCTAAAGTAAATCAGTCCTGAATACTCATTGGAAGGACTGATGCTGAAGCTTAAACTCCAATAATTTGGCCACCTGATGCAAAGAATTGACTCATTGAAAAAGACCCTGATGCTGGGAAAGATTGAAGGCAGGAGGAGAAGGGGACGGCAGAGGATAAAATGGTTGGATGGTATCACTAACTCGATGGACATGAGTTTGAGTAAACTCCGGGAGTTGGCAATGGACAGGGAGGCCTGGCGTGCTGCCGTCCACGGGGTCGCAGAGTCGGACACGACTGAGCGACTGAAGTGAACTCAGGGATGTATTTATACCTAGATAAAATCTTAGCCATTATCCCCACCTCAACTTCTCCAACAGTTAAAACCACCCAAGGAAAAATGATGAATCTTTAATAAAAGTATGAATGCATTCCAAAGCTAAATACAACTGAGTTAAATAACTGTTTCAAATATCCATACAGTGTTTCTATTTTTTAGCATCATTTATCTAGAATTGACTCCAAATACAATTATACTTCTATATGACCTTATTATGGAATACAAGAATAATGCATAGAATTTTATGCATGTAATCTTAGAATAATGAGTGCCCTCTTAACTAGTCCAAGATTCAATATCTTCACCTGTAAAATGGAAGTGAGGACTAGAGTTGAACTATAATAACCTAAAGTTACCTTCCAGTTGTACCAACTTAACTTCAACTTCATGTCCAGTTTTCTACCTCTATCCTTAGGAAATACAGATGTATTATTTAAGATCTATCTTAAAACAGTCTAATACAAGCTGTTATATAACACTGTGGTGATCTCTACAAAGATATTTTTAGCGTAAAAGAAAAAAAATCCCTTGTCCTTTTAGAGAACAATTTTCTCAAGAAAACCATTAAGCACAAAGCACCCTGAAAAAGTATTTTGTTCTGGAAACATGTGAATGTGAAAAAACAGTGTTCAAAAGTTGCCAGAAAAATAAGCAAACCACAAAATATTTCCTGCCAGTTATGATTAGCATTGGCACTGGTCCTCCTTTATGAGCCCAAAGCTTTCTAAGTGGGCACAAAAAAAGAACCTGATTCTAGAGCTTTCTGCTTGTCAAATGTAGGGAACACTCTTCAAAGTGCAAGGCCCATAATCACCTATAAAAGTAGTTCCCATATGACAAGAAGCAAGTAAATATAACATGGAGAATCTTTCATAAAGTTAAATTTAAATGACTGCCCTAATCTCTGAGATTTCACCCTCTTCTTTGGGGGATTAAAATATATTTCCTTTAATAATGATGAAGACAGTACTGACAATTGTGTAGATATGTTTTATTTTTAAACATCTTCATCAGATACAATAAAAAGACATATTTGTGTTGTTTCCCTGTTCATTTATTTACATTTTACTGCTTCATGATATTCAGAAGTATGAAAGTCAGTTAATTTTCACATCAAACTTCTCTCAAGTTGAGAAGAGCCAGGGCAGTCATTTGATGTCAGGTCTGCTCATGCCAAAAAAAAAAAAGCTACACTAATCACTATTTAACTAACAGGTCAAAATTAAGCAATAAGTGAAGAAAACAAAACCACAGATTAAAGGTCTCGCATTAAGAATCACAGTTGGGACAATGGTGTCAGAAGTATTTCTCACTAAGTCAGTTCATTCATTTAACTAGTTTCATGTCATCCATTCATATCAATGTTAATTAAGCCACTGTTTTTATCACAGCATCTATCTTTCATATATGTCTCATTTAAATTCTGAATGTAAGAGTTCTATCCTATGTGATAACAATATACACTTCAAAGAAACCAGAAGGCAGGAAGAAATTTATCAACCTTCCTCAGTTTCTTGACCTGGAATTTTTTAACACCTATTTAGAGATTGGTTGGTACTTGTAACACACAACATTGATGCTCACTTGAGGAATGGGTCACACTTCTTAATTAATAAGACCTCTCACTGCCATGCCCTGAAAAGCACTAGAGGAAAAGCTCCCCAAGGACAACTTCTTCTCAGTGCAAGCCCACTGCAGAAAAACACAGGCAACATCCAAGGAGCAGGCCACAGCCATCCTCGAAGCACCATCATCACACTACCAAGAAGCACAGACTTCAGATGATTTCTGGACCAACTGAACTAATTGCATTTGGGAATCTAAATGGCTTGTGAAACTTTTGAAACACACACGCTTAAATCTCACCACCCAGTATATTCTGCTGCAGATATTATTTCTTGTTGAGTTTTATAGATGATTCTAACAACTCCCCAGGTTAAAAACCACGGTTCCAGAGACTGACAAATTCAGAAGGAAAACACATGGACAACTCAGTAATATCACTTGATCTACAAGTAGAGTTTTCGTTAGGCTCTTCATTATTCACAACAGCTGCTTTCCCACATTCTGAATGAAACCCCTCCACAGGAATGCACAATTTAATACAGTCTCTTTAAAGAGTGGGTATAAATCACTCTATTCATAAAGCATAACTTTAAGAAAAAAGAATTTAGATACTCCACACTCATGATCATGCCAACCTGGACAGTGCAATCTGTGGAGAAAATCGCTTCTGTTTTTGCAGACACCCAATTCTTCCTAAAGCACCTCTTAAAATTGCAAGGTGTATTCAGACTTCTGCTGTGATTAGGCCAACTTAGAAGTAAAAGCCCAAGTAAATATTTATATTACAAACATTAAGAATGCCTTTAAGTAGCAGAAGATCAGCAAACTCCAAGCAGGGAGCAAAGAACAAGTAATATCAATTATTCTTCTAAGAAAAGACACAAATCCATAAAATATAAAATGACAGATTATATAAAGAACTGCTGCATAACTTTTTCTTTCTTCTACACCCGAAAATAGGTCTCATGCTGAGGAGACGGCTTTTACAAAAGCCTCTCTCTGGCTGGGGACACTCCTGGCACATGGCCTTATGTGGAGACCCGAGTCACAGAGGCCTGCAGGGACCTGGGTGCCACTCCAGCAGCTAAGGCACTTCAGGGAGCTCTGGCTGTCACAGCGTAAGGTCCCCTGGGGGTGAGGAATATGGATCATGAATATTTGCCAAAGAGAATTAGGACCATCTAGAATCATTCACACTCAAGTCCCTAGGCTCAAATGACCCTCTTCTACTCCAAATCAGGGGTTGTGGAGTAGATACACTGAGAAATGGTCCCGAAAACATGCTCAGGACATTAATTACGCAGTTAATGTCAAAGGGCAGTTTTTGAAAATCAAATATCAAAATATTTTTAAAGTGATTTATTTCTTTCCCTCTCCTCTGTCTCCACCGTTCCGTTATTATTATTTTTTTTTACATGAAAGCTCACCTCGCCCTTGTGAAGAACTTCAACCTCTAGGAGCTTCCACCACTGTTCCTCCTCCTCTTCATCCTGTCAATCGCAGGACAGCAGCACTATTTACGGATACGGAAAAGTTTCTCTGCCAAAAAAAGAAAAGAAAGAAAAAAGATGGATAAAACAGATAAAACTGCATGTTATTCCTCACCATCTCCCACTGCATCTATAAAATGCCATCTAATGACTACTCGTGATGGGAAACGATCACCACTGAACCCACCAAGATGTTCCAAAACCTGATTTTAGCTGAAAATTTTAAATTAACATTTCAGATCAACAAACATTAACAACCAATGCCTTACACCATGTTAGGCTCTGTATGTACCCAGAAGGAAGCAAGATATGTATGCATCATCATAATAAACAGAGAATACACAGCAAAAGAAATCTGGTTTGAAAGGGTCCTTTAACTACTGAAAGGTGGAAATGAGCAGGAGTCACAAAAGGTCTGAATCAATAGTAACAGGATAAAGAAAAAAAAAATTGATCATTTTGCCTCATGCTGCTGACCAATGTGAATCAGGAACTCCAACTAGTGTTTAATAGAATGACAGGTATCAGGGATGAATGGGGAAGGGCAAAGAAGTGGGTAGGAGAAGAGAATGCTTGAAAAGAATAAACAAAATCCCAGTCACTTGGTCATTAGCCTATATTTGCACCCACAGTCAATGTGGAAAAGGGTCAAATATGACAAGAACAGTAGTGGGTGGGCATCCTTCAAACATGAAGAGGGAACGCAGGAAGACAGGAGGTCTGGGATTCAAAAATATGTTTAGTCGATACTTCTGGATAAATGGGACACACAGAGCTTAGGAAAAGGTAAAACATGAAGCAATTATAAAAATACTGGAGATCTATGAAATATCAAAACTCTAGGCATATGAAACAATTTAACGAAAGAGTTTTAAACTCAAAAATTTTTTACCTGTATACCTTCTATACACTTAGGACCTAATAAGGGCTACCTTGGTGGCAGAGATAGTAAAGAATCTGCCTGAAATGTAGAGACCTGGGTTTGATCCTTGGGTTGCGAAGATCCCCTGTAGGAGGGCATGGCAACCTCTCCGATATTCTTGCCTGGAAAACTGCTGTGGATAGAGGAGCCTGGCAGGCTACAGTCCATGGGATTGCAAAGAGTCGGACATGACTGAGTGACTTAGCACACAGTATGTGGAAATACAACTGATTTTTGTGTACTGATTCTGAAGCATACAACTGTGCTGTATTCACTTACTGGTGTTAATAGCTATTCTGTGCATTCTTTAGGATTTTTTATATCATGTCATCCTCAAACAGAGATAATTTTACTTCTTCCCTTCCAATCTGGATCCTTTTTATTTCCTTTTCTAGCCTAAGAGCTCGGCCAAAACTTCCAACACAATGTTTCATATCAGTGAAAGCAGATATACTTACCTTATTCCCGATCTTAAAAGAAAAGATTTCAATCTTTTATCACTGAGTATAATGTTGGTTATGTGTTTTTCATAAATCCCCTTAATTATACTAAGTTCACTCTTATTCCTAGTTTGTTAAGTTTGCTTATCATGAAAGGGTGTTGAATTTCATCAAATGCCTTTTCTGAGGCAACTGAAGTGATCAAGTGCTTTTCTTTTCTTCATTCTATTAATGGGATATGTTATATTGATTTTATGTGGCGCCACCCTGGAATTCTGGGGATAAACCCCACTTAGCCATGGTGTTTAATCCTTTTGATATGCTGTTGGATTCAGTCTGTATTACAGGTGTATTTTGACAATTAAAGATACACACACAAAAATAAATTGCTTAAACATACTAAATATGTTAATATTTATTAAAGTAATTATTTCTACATGGTAAGTTTATAGGTTAAGATTTCCCTCTTCATATTTTCTGTATTTTCTACAACCAATATCAATATCTTTTATAGCAAAAGAATAAGTATTTTACAGATTTTTCTCACATATGAAATATTATATAGCAGAGATGAACAAACTGAAGCCATGTGTATGAATATGAAGTCTAAAAACAATGAAATCTAAAAATCATTACTGAAAGAAAAAAAAGCTTCAGAAAATAATACACAGTAAGCTATCTTCAGTATGGGCTTCCCTGGTGGCTTATGTATTAAAGAATATGCCCCAGAAAAAAAAAAAAATAAATAAATAAAGAATCTGCCTGCAATGAGGGAGACCTGGGTTCAGTCTCTGGGTCGGGAAGATCCCCTGGAGAAGGAAATGGCTACCCACTCCAGTATTCTACCCTGAGGAATTCCATGCACTGAGGAGCCTAGCAGGCTACAGTCCATGTAAAATTTATAACCCTATAAAATGAAATTCTTAGGAGCATATGGATACACAAATATGTAATGACAATATCAAAACATGAATGATGAAAGTAATCTGATTCATAGTAATCCCTGGGAATGCAAAGAGGGGCACACCCCAGGTGGTCTCAACTGGATGAGAAATTTTGTTTCCTCAAAGGTATACACAGATTATTTTAAGATTAGATTTATTTGAGTTGAAAATATTCAGATCTTTGTAATAATATTCTCATACTATTTGACATGCTTCAAAATAAAAATATTTTTGAGAAAAATTAAATCAGATGTCAGATTTTTTTAAAGGAAATTTACCACTTTTGAAAAGGAACTTCCCAGCAATTACTAGAGATAGGACCCTTCCTTTCCCATGTATTCTTTATAACAATAACACCTTTTGATCAATGAAAATATTTTCTGATGACTCTAGATGATACTGGGTTTCATGAATAAAAACAGAATTACTAGGCTGATTTTGAACTTCCCTGGTAGCTCAGCTGGTAAAAAATCCACCTGCAATGCAGGAGACCCCAGTTCATTTCCAGGGCAGGGAAGATCCTCTGGAGAAGGGATAGGATACCCACTCCAGTATTCTTGGGCTTCCATGGTGGCTCAGATGGTTAAGAATCCACCTGCAAGACGGGAGACCTGGGTTCAATCCCTGAGTTAGGAAGATCTCCTGGAGGAGGGCATGGCAACCCACTCCAGTATTCTTGCCTAGAGAATCCCCATGGACAGAGGAGCTTGATGGGCTACAGTCCATGGGGTCACAAAGAGTTGGACATGACTGAGCAACTAAGCACACAGCACTGCCTGATTTAGGAGAAATCACAAATGAAACAAAATTACTTATAAAAGTATGATGCTCCAAGTCACCAAATAAATATAGCTTTCTTAAAACTTAACACAGTTTAATAGAGGTCTAATTTTTTTTGGCCATGCCTTGTGGCTTGTGAGATCTTAGCTCCCCCTCAGTTCTGAACCACCAGGGACGTCTCAATAGAGTTCTTTTAATAGACTTTTCCTTCTTAATAGACTGACTTCACCATGCGAAGCCTGACAAGAGTGCAGAAAAACACCCAGAGTTGTCACAAAAAAATAATGACAAAAAAAAGTTCTGGAATTAGATAGTGATGATGGGTTATACAACTCTACATATTCTAAAAACTACAAAATTTTATGGCATGTAACTTAGGTCCCAATAAAGCAGTTTTTTTTTTTAAAGAGTAATGATGATTCCTCATTTAAAGTGGTATTCTAACAAAGCTCTTTATATCTCTATTTTACTATAATCACCACAGTTCCTTAAAATCAGAAACTCTATTATTAATCTATGGACATCATATACTATAGTAGGACAAACACAAAATCTGTTACTTTACAGCCCAAAACTCTTTCTCACAATATCATTTAAAAAGTTTGTGACAGAAAAGCGTGCTTTTAAGCACACTGTGGGCTGAATATTTACATTTTCCTTCGTGGTAAAAACTGGTGTGAATTCAGGTTTAGCAGATTACTTCTGAAAAACTACATGTTTCTGAAAAGAAACTCCTCTTCCCTGAAAAATACCCTTTTCTCTCTATTCTAACACACATCCTTATCTCTACATAGTACTCAACAGCCTCAGATCCAAAGCAGAATCTAGTCAACTAAGAGAGGCATCCACACGCCAAGAAGAGTAAGAAGGAAGCAGGCTTGGGGAAGGAGGATACTCCTGAGAGCCTAAGGGGGAGCTTCCTATTTTCATGTCTGAGTGGGAAGGAGCAAGGGTGGGACCTGAGGCTCAAAGATACGCACACACCTGTTCTTCTTCCGTGAAGGGCACAAGAGCCGGGACAGCGAGGGCTCCTCCTGTAGGAGAGGCAGAAATTCTTTATCTAGAAGCTCTGGGGGTCGGGCTGCTCTGGGCCCTGGTGGGGAGGGCAATACCCACTGAGATCTGTTTGACCAAACACCTGACTGTGAGGTTAATGCTCTCCCTGCAATCCTAAGAAGTCAAAACCAGAAAATATTGTTTGGTTTATCTGATGCTGATTATCAAAATACGGAATAAAAGCTTATTCAGTCACAATTAATATTCTGACAGGGTCAAACATTAAAAAGCCCAATCACTCACCTCGTCTTCCCATCAGACTACCACTCTCAGATTTGACATACAGCACTGACCCTGATAGCTCAGTTGGTAAAGAATATGCCTGCAATGCAGGAGACTCCAATTCGATTTCTGGGTTGGGAAGATCCACTGAAGCAGGGATAAGCTACCCACTCCAGTATTCTTGGGCTTCCCTTGTGGCTCAGCTGGTAAAGAATCTGGCTGCAGTGCAGGAGATCTGGGTTGGGAAGATCCCCTGGAGAAGGGAAAGGCTACCCACTCCATTATTCTGGCCTGGAGAATTCCATGGACAGTCCATAGGGTTGCAAAGAGTCATACATGACTGAGCAACTTTCACTTTCACTGATTCTGATACTCCAGAGTGCACATTTAACTCAAAGCACAAGGTGGTAAGGGGAGTTTTATAAGCAACCGTATCTGTCCTTAGCAACTATCATTAAAATTTGATTCTTAATCCATTAATAAAGTTAAAAACAAAGTATACTTAAGTAGAAAATGTTATTTCTCACTAGTCACATGAGAGAAGTATACTTTATACGGTATGAGTTTTGATCATTTATAAGTAACTCAAATCAGGTGTCATATTTTCAGATTTTCTCCCCACTAAAAATTTTATATTTAACTCAAACGGGAAGAACAAGAGAAGCATCTGCCCTTCTGGCTCCTAAGGTCTAACTGGAAAGAAGAATGATAGATGCAATAAAGAGAAGAGAAAAATTTCTCAGCTATCACAGTGGGATAAAAATAAACGTTGTTATGGAAATCAGTTAGGCAAAGCATTAAGTCCTGACCACTCTCCTGCTCCCAAGAAGCTTTCTACTTCTGTGATGAAATCTTAGGTTTACTCTAAAACATAAAGAGTGCATCATTTAGAAGAGCTTCTGTGAACTACTGCAGGTTTCAACACAGGAAGAAAAGAGAGAAAAGCCATAGCTATTTCATATATCAACACACAACTGTACATACCCTGAAATCGCATTTGCAATTTTGAACTCTTTCCTATGTTCTTACCTTGTGTTTAAGGAAAAGTGCTAACATTTCTTCTCTCCCATAACGATAGTCTGCTAACACATACTTCGGCAATGCTGGAGAAAGCGGGGGATGTAATACTCCCACCTCTGGACAGAGCTCAGGGCCTAACAGTAGAGAGAATAGAAAAACAAAGTGTCAAATGTGCTGGCAGTAAAGACTTTTTATTTCCACTATACTATATACTATAATATTTTCACTTCAGTTATTCAAAAGAACAGAAAGGAATATATTATAATATTTTGACTTTAGTTCTTGAAAAGAACAGAAAGGAAAAGTCATATGTCAAGGAATCCAAGATTTTAGCTCTAAAGCAATCTGCTGTAATAGCTCACTAAGAAAATAGTTTACCGAGTTCATTGAGAAATAAGTAGACAACCATGTGGAAATTCCTTAACTTAAAAAGTATCATAGTGTGTACCTAAGAAGCTTAGGGAGTGAGGAGGGGACAAGTTTTGCCAAGCTATAAAACTAACATATAACTAAAAGTGAGACATCAACTTACATCACTGGATTAATAGAAATTAAGAAATCTGACAGTACCAACTGCTGGCACGAATGTAAAACAATGCAAATTCTCAAGTAGTACTTGTAAAATTATAAACTAGAACAGTCACTTCAAAGAATGATTTCCTAATATTTAACAAACTATTTTTTAAATATTTCTTTTGCTCCCCAGAAGAAAATGCAAAATACAGACACTTGTAAAGAAAATGATACTTTTATATATGCCCACAATATTTGATAATTCACTTTTAATAAAAGCAATCAATGATGAGTGTAGAGAATTTGAAAATGCAGTGGAGAAAAAAAAACAGTGAAATACAAGGAGAAAAATATATAAAACCCATATTTACTGCTAAGGAAAAAAAGAAGGTAAAAACATACTTCAAGCTGATAACAAAAGTTATCTCAAAGGAAGGAAACTGGATAAAGGGGTACACAATTTTATAACATGTTATTATTTTAAAAACGAGCTAAGCCTCAGCAAAAAATGGCAAGCTTTCCTCCTGGGAAAACTACCATCAGGAGTAGCTGATTATCGAGGAGTGGCCCAAAGTTCTACAAAGTAATTGATAACTAGGGTAAAAGGAGCCAAAGTACTTCAAGTCAGTAGTTTAGCCCAAAGGAAAATTTAACAGAAGCACTGAAATATAGGGGACTGGAATACACAAGTAGGAAACCAAGAGATACCTGGAGTAACAGGCAAGTTTGGCCCTGAAATTCAAAATGAAGCAGGGCAAAGGCTAATAGAGTTTTGCAAAAAGAATTCACTGGTCATAGCAAACACCCTCTTCCAACAACACAAGAGAAGACTCTACACATGGACATCACCAGATGGTCAATATTGAAATCAGATTGATTACATTCTTTGCAGCCAAAGATGGGGAAGCTCTATACAGTGAGCAGAAACAAGACCAGGGCCTGACTGCGGCACAGATCATGAACTCCTTATTTCCAAATTCACACTTAAATTGAAGAAAGAAGGGAAAACCACTAGACCATCCAGGTATGACGTACATCAAATCCCTTATGATTATACAGGGGAAGTGACAAACAGATTCAAGGGATTAGATCTGATAGACAACCGTGCCCGAAGAACTACGGACAGAGGTTCGTGACATTGTACAGGAGACATGGAGCAAGACGATCTTTAAGAAAAAGAAATGCAAAAAGGCAAAATAGTTGTCTGAGGAGGCTTTACAAACAGTTGAGAAAAGAAGATGAAAGGCAAAGGAGAAAAGGAAAGATATACCCATCTGAATGCAGAGTTCCAAAGAATAGCAAGGAGAGATAAGAAAGCCTTCCTCAGTGATCAGTGCAAAGAAATAGAGGGAAACAACAGAATGGGAAAGACTAGAGATCTCTTCAAGAAAATTAGAGATACCAAGGGAACATTTCATGCAAAGAAGGGCACAATAAAGGACAGAGATGGTATGGATCTAACAGAAGCAGAAGATATTAAGAAGAGGTGGCAAGAATACACAGAAGAACTATGCAAAAAAGATCTTCATGATCCAGATGACTACCATGGTGTGATCATTCCCTAGAGCCAGATGTCCTGGAGTCCAAAGTCAAGTGGGCCTTAGGAGGCATCACAATGAACAAAGCTAGTGGAGGTGAGGAATTCCAGCTAAGCTATTTCAAATACTATAGATGCTGTGAAAGTGCTGCACTCAACATGCCAGCTAATTTGGGAAACTCAGCAGTGGCCAAGGACTGCAAAAGGTCAATTTTCATTCCAATACAAAGAAAGGCAATACCAAAGAATGTTCAAATTACCACACAATTGCACTCATCTCACATGCTAGCAAAGTAATACTCAAAATTCTCCAAACCAGGCTTCAACAGTATGTGAACCGTGAATTTCCAGATGTTCAGGCTGGATTTAGAAAAGGCAGAGGAAGCAGAGATCAAATTGCTAACATCCGTTGGATCATCAAAAAAGCAAGAGAGCTCCAGAAAAACATCGACTTCTGCTTTAATGACTACACCAAAGCCTTTGACTGTGTGGATCACAACAAACTGGAAAATTCTCAGAGATGGGAATACTAGATACCTTACCTGCCTCCTGAGAGATCTGTATGCAGGTCAAGAAGCAAGAGTTAGAACCCAACATGGAACAATGGACTGTTTCCAAATTGGGAAAGGAGTATGTAAAGGCTGTATATTGTCACCCTGCTTATTTACTTCTATGCAGGGTACATCATGTGAAATGCCAGGCTGGATGAAGCACAAGCTGGAATCAAGATTGCTGGGAAAAATATCAATAACCTCAGGTATGGAGGAGATGACACCACCTTTATGGCAGAAGGCAAAGAGGAACTAAGAAGCCTCTTGATGAAAGTTAAAGAGGAGAGTGAAAAAGCTGGCTAAAAACTCAGCATTCAAGAAACTAACATCACATCTGGTCCCATCAATTCAAGGCAAATCAATGGGGAAACAATGGAGAACAGTGACAGACTATTTTCTTGGGCTCCCAAATCACTGCAGATGGTGCCTGCAGCCATAAAATTAAAAGATGCTTGCTGCTTGGAAGAAAAGCTATGATCAACCTAGACAGCATATTAAAAAGCAGAGATATTACTTTGCCAACAAAGGTCCATCTAGGCAAAGCTATGGTTTTTCCAGTAGTCATGTATGGATGTGAGACTTGGACTATAAAGAAAGCTGAGTGCTGAAGAATGGATGCTTTTGAACTGTGGTGTTGGAGAAGACCCTTCAGAGACCCTTGGACTGCAAAGAGATCAAACCAGTCAATTCTAAAGGAAATCAGTCCTGACTATTCATTGTAAGGACTGATGCTGAAGCTGAAGCTCCAATATTTTGGCCACCTGATTCAAAGAACTGACTCACTGGAAAAGACTGATGCTGGGAAAGATTGAAGGCAGGAGGAGAAGGGGACCACAGAGGATGAGATGGTTGGATGGCATCACCGACTCTATGGACGTGAGTTCAAGCAAGTTCTGGGAGTTGGTGATGGATAGGGAAGCCTGGCTTGCTGTGGTCCATTGGGTTGGCAAAGAGTTGGACACAACTGAGTGACTGAACTGAACTGACTGAAATATGTCCCCCAAATGGCTAAGCTGTATTGACAAAAACAATAAAAAGAAGGGACTGGTCTACAAGTTGTACATTAAAAAGTATGAAGGCCAAGCGCAATGAATACTTGCAGATTATTCAACAATGGCAGAAAAAGTAGCATATTCATGGTAAATATACAGAATGTGTTTACATGTAGAAAGCAATACCAGAATTTAAAAAAGGAATATGTATTAGTACAGTAAGACGAATAAGGTTTTTTTAGTTCAGTGTTTTACATTTTTTAAAAAATGTTTTATTACGGACAAGTTTGAACATATATAAAACCACCAAGAAGAAACCCCCCTGTACCTACTAACCCAGCCTGCAGCCCATCTGACTCCTTCTACAGCCCCATCTAACCCTCCTTTAATGTTTTTCTGAAGGAACTCTTTGGCTTTCAAGATTTTTAAAGGAAATTATTTTCAAGTCTGGAGAAAATTTTTTTAAGAAAAGTTATCATTTCATCTGTGAATATTTCAGAATTATATCTCTAAAAGACACAGGTTTTTCTTTAAGTATGGATTTTGCTAATTTTATCCCTGTGATATAGTTTAATACGTTTCTCTGCTCTTTGCATTTCATGTAAATTGGTGACTGGGCGTAGAAACCTGATCAGACTTGATAAGACTACATACGCTTGGCGGTATGTCCCAACACCACGAGGCACATACTGCTTGGTGTGTTTTGCAAGGCTAAGCAGTCCCTCATGAGCCAAGCTGAGATCCCCAAATTCACTAAGGTTACAGACCAACTTTATTCTTTCATTTCTTCTTTATTTACTATGTAGAGTAGTTCTACAAAGAGAAACTTCCCTTTTATACTATCTGGTATTACCTAATAGAATATAGCTCATATAAGAAAAGAAAAGGCTTTCATTCTTCCTTTTCGTTTATTAGTTTTCATAATAATGACTTGGTTCACTAACAATCCTCCAACAGTAAGATTATATTCATTAATGTATTTCAGTTCACTGCAATTATTCTTAACAGTACTCAAACTGTCTCATCTTTGCCCAGTGGAAGAGGCTTCAGGTTTGCTCCCAAGTCCTTCTGACCCAACGCTAGTAGTCTTTGAGAGCTTCATTTCTATCTGGTATGTCAAATGTCCCAAAACCAGCTTATTTCTTGCCTCAGATGTGAAATCAACCATTTCACCAGGGAGCCTGATTCTCTTTGGTAATATACATATTAAGACTACAGTCTGGGTGCTAGAAGTGTTCACTGCTATTGGGTTGGTCTTTTGTTTTCTTTCCAATTATTCTTGGACTTAGAGGCCATTGAGTCCAACTCCTATAAGACAGGCTAAACAAGTCAGTAAGAAAAAAACATGCCCACAAAGGAGGACCCAACCACTGCTGAAGGACCTTCCAGTACAGTGGTTCACATCACATTCATGAACATTTGGGCTCTTCCCTGAAAATGTGCACTTAATATCCACTGAGAACTGAAGCTGAGAATGTTACACATGCTCATTTAAGTTTCACAACCACTCCCAATACAACAGAGGAGAAAAACAGAGCCAT